GCGTGTGTGTGTGTGTGTGTGTGTGCACGTGGTTTTCTACCTTTCTGCATGCAAGCGCCAAAAATCATTCTGGTGTTACAAATTGCATGCAAACCCGCAAGTTTTATGTGAACAACGCTACCTGTGTATTTTGGTAATAAGTTGACCAGATGGGTTATCACAGACCGTACGCAAATCCCAGAGTATTGCACTGATTGCAGCACGAATTGATGTTGGTTCACATTCGGTCAAATGAGTGAATTTATTCATCTATATATATTTATATATATATATACATATATATATATATATATATGTTTTTACCTATTCATGTGTATATTCACACCTATACACAGTTGTATTTGCCTGTAATCAGCCGAAGCATCTAGTGATTATTCTATTTAAGCCTTATCGATGGCGAAGCGCGTTATTCTTGAGTACGTATCTGGAGCTCAGAAGTGCTGCCGCACTCTACGTCTTCCACGTATTCTGATACAGTGGATCTATGTGTGCGAGTGTCTTTACTTTATGTGTCCGGCACATATAGACCACGCGATTCAGAGAACCAACTCAGCTCGGTGAATAATGTGCTTGTTCGTGATAATTGTTCCCCTGTACACTCTCCATTAATAGTTTCTGCCCGTCTCATTCGACCTGCGGTACAGCGTCCAGACCACCATGCGTGTTCAAGTTCAAGCGTGAAGCCATCAATTCCTCATCTTCTATCTAACTATGCGAGTTTGCGAGCACTCCGCTATGAAAAATTGTTCTATACAGAGGTCTGGTTTGAGTTCCGGTTCGTAGTCACATCCACATTCATGTCCATGTTGGTATTGCGTGGTATGGGGATAGGCGTTGGTGCGGGGTTGAGCGCTGATGCGGTATGTGTCGTATTTGTACTCGTGGTTGTGGTTGTGGTTGTGGTTGTACTCGTACCCGAGATGGCAGGTGTCTCGGCCTCCTTCGGTAAAGCAATAGCAATTGGTGGAGATGTACCTAATGTTTCTGTGGCTCCCAAGTAACCGGCGGTACGGTCGATAGTCTGTCCTAATGTTTTGGCCATAGGTATCCGGCTATTGTCCAGATGCGTTACCATGACATCCTTGCACGCGGAGAGTGCCCCGCCCCACCGCTTGAACTGCGAGTATGATAAAGAGGAGTGGAAGAGTGAATAAACGTTGAACAGGTGGGTCAAAAAAGACTTGGAAATGTACTGATATGGGTTGTTCACCTAATGCTTCGGAGCATGTAATATAACGGCAAATAGTGAACGCCGCTGGGAGTGAACGGAGGATATGCGGCACCAAAGTGAACGCCATATTTGATTGCCATTGTATACGTACCCGCACCATACTATGCGATCGACGAGCATACCTTTTCAGTAGACTCATCAGTGAATAAAGACGTGCCCATACTCTGCAGCGAGATCATAAACGTTTCACGTAGAGCATCTGGAGCACAGTATTGCTCGAACCACTCCAGCAGGGTCTTGGAGAAAACTTCCGAGGACTCCAACGACACTTTCGCATTGAAGGACTCGAATAGCTTGTCGACAACATGGCAGAACTGTTCAGTGATTGTATAGTAGAATACACTGAAATTAGTACACGGATTTAAGCCAAAACGCAGGGAATCAAAGAGTGAGCACTTAACACCTAGAATTCTCACCTCTGATAAAACGCGAAATCCACTTTGCGCATTAGAATTTCAGACGATTTGCGGCCCTATGCTGCTACTTGCAATATTTGAAACTCAATCCAGGAAACAAATCAACGGGTATTTACGACTAAAGCATCGATCTCCACATTAACTTCAAGACATACTGAAACAGCTGTTGGTGCTCACAATGACCATCGCTGCGTACAGGATATTCTCAGCCAAGCCCAAGCCAATTACGAACAAACACATACCACAAAGAACTTGATGTTGTCCTTGCTGTACATATCCGGTATCTCATTAAACCCTTCCACGGCTTCATTGAACATCTTAGCCCTCTCCTCGATCTCATTGGTCCCTCCCAACTTATTGTACTCGTCGATGATGGATCGCAACTGTTGCACCTCTTTCCGTAACTTGTTTAATTCGTCCAGCAGTCCAGTCTTCTGACGTATAAGATATCCCACATAGTCTATCGCCTACGCAATTCGAGACACAAATATAGTTAGGTCAGCGACGCATGAATCAATACAGAGTCGACAATCACCCCATAACACAGGCACCACGTACAAGAACACACATCCACTAACTTATCAAACAGCAAGACACTCCCAGCGACTCACTGCACGCCGCCATCTAGCGACAGTACCCATACACACCTTTTGCAGTATACTGGCTTTGCTGAATTTGCTATTCGGCGTCACTTGGCACGAGGGAATGATCTGCTGCAGTTCCTCAAAGCCAACCTTGATATTGTTCCGCCGCTTCTGCTCCGCAAGGATATGTGCGCTGCGTCTGGTTTCATGGTTCGCATCCTTGTCACTGCTGCGTGATCCGTTATCACCTGGTGAGGCATACATGAGGTCTTTGTTGTCCACTAACGACGCACCTAGGCCTAAGGGTGAGCCCTCGGGCTGAGGTGCTAGAGGCATTGGCCCGTATTGCATAGGTGGACGGGGCATGACATAGCCTGAAGGACCTGAGGTACGGTGGAAGGGATGTAGGGATTCAGGGTTTGGGGCTTGGGTTTGGTTTGAGGGTTTTGGTTTCGGGTGTAGAAATAAAGTGTTTAAGTTTATAGCCGGAGAGGAGAGATCGAGAAGCTGCAGCAAGTGAGAGACCATTTATGATCACTGCCGAATGATACGCGATTAGTCTACTACAAAGAGAAAAGGTTTTTCGGTGCCCATCCACGCATGGCTGTGTAAGCATCATGTCTGCACCTTAGTCTGGCCCCGCGCCAATAAACGAGTGCTCGTCACAATCCTTGAGACACTTCCTATCTCGACGGAAGTGTGTACACCGTAGAACTCCACACAACGCGTTGTACATTGATGCGTGCGATTATGATGTATACTGGCGTGGGGTACGGATTCAATTGGAGACAAATACCTACAAGTCAAAGTAATTGCTGTCCAGACGCATATACAAGTGCCCACATGACTGTGCCCGTGGATGTCAATAAACATGTGAAGACGCCAGGGTCTATCCTAACTGGAGAGCAATATTACTTTCAAAAATGCTGATATACAATCAACGATATGCGCTAAAAAAATAATGCGATGGAAACTAAATCTGCACATATATGCGCTAGCCAACGGTTGCGCAATTGATTTTGTTTCGAGGCATATATAGGAAGACAGGTGGAAGAAGCGAAAGATCTGAAAAAGGCAATAACCTGTAGATATACCTGTAAATGAAAATGCTGAAATGTAATCACACACACACTGACTAAACAAGCAGATGAACATGACGCAAACACGTACAAAAATCAGGGCACTGTACTAGAATATAACACCTCCACGTATAATTGGAAATGTTTACAAAAAAAGAAACAGCAGTGTAGTTCTGGGTGAAAATAAGTGGAATGGATGTATTTGTATACAAGAGAGACATGCAGGTAGGGCTATCCACACTATTGAATACAAAGCCATGAATTAACTATGTATGAACATATATACATATACATATA